ACCAGACTGGGCAAGAGCAAAAATAATATCTTGTGCAGCAACGATCTCTATAATCTTTGATCTCTTCCTCAGACACGGTAATACCATCAAGCAATGTCCTTTTGGATCATGAGTATCATATTCCTCCTGCATATTACACAACATATCACCAAATATAATAAGCAAGCTCAATAAGAACAGTAATACGTAGAGGCTAAACAGGTAACATATCACCCATTGACGTTCAAAACTAAGGTTTTAGCTGATAGACTTCCAAGTAAATGAGAAGAAAGAGATGTCCTTCTGTATCTCCTACTCGATTAATATATTACTATTCATCAAAAGGCAAACTGATTTAAATAGCAGCAATATAACATGTTTACCGGAATACCAGCAAATGCAAATAAAGCATCTAAATTTCAAAATCAGCCAAGGTATTCTCCTACATTTCTTACTCATTTCTCAAATAAAGCTTTATTAGCTATCATTCACGGAACTTTTCATTTAACGTCAGGAAGACACAAAAGTCCCACCGTTTCAAATGTTTTTCTTTTATAGTTAACAACATTAAAGATTTCAACCCAAAAAAAAAGGGGGGAAAAAAAGCAAAGTTTGAACAACAACGGTAGTACATGAGGCTTGCACCAGTACCTCGTAAAGATGAAATTGAAAATTGTAGGCGCTCCAGCCATTTCAGTTGTTTATTATAAACCAAAGCAAAACTTGGAGTAGAAACTATTAAACGGATAATATGTATCAAATCAATTTTAACATTAAAGATGCAGAGCTAAGAGTTCCGATGTTCTACAAATTCGCAACTAGGGCTAAAATGTTCAAATTTCTATCGCAATTTCGAAAAAGAAAAGGAAAAGGACGAGGCGTTAAACTAAGGTTTGGGCGAGTAAGATACCTCAACTAAATCTGTATATCATAATAAAGAAGAATTCTCGATCAATTTGAACAACAAACAATCAGAGGAAATGGAGAAAAAAAGAATAAAAACTTAAAAATGCAGAAGGAAATTAGCGCAATGATAAAAAAGAATTAAAAGTTAGGGCAAGTAAGTGAAAAACAGAACCTGCAATCGGATGTTACGGAAGCGCTCCTGGGTGTCGCTGATGGAGAAAGCACGGTGTGGCTTAGAGCAGATTTCTCTTCGTTGAAGTTTCTTGACACTGTTAACGAAGGCATCGGCTCTCCCTCTTTTCTTGGATGCGAGTATTCTCCGTCCACTGCAAGGCCTTGGGCTGACCGCAATCCGCCGCCCACCATCCATATCTTTAGCTCCTAAAACAAAGCCCTAGTCCGCTGGATTTCGGCTCCCACCCAATTCTAGGGCTGCGACTATCTAACTAAAACAGTCCCTCATCCAGCAGTAACAGAAGATTTGATTTTCTTTAAAGAAAGGAAAAGGGACATTACTGGTAACAAGTAATAAGAAGCCTTCTACGCTTTTCTTGGCTTAGACTTGAGACTTTGTATTGTCGGTGACTCAGATTCCAGTGAGCATGCTTCGCCGACCGATCTACTTCCCAATTTTTGAAATTTAAACAAATACTAATATTTTATATCCCTCAGTCTCAGTGTATCTGTTTCTAAATTTCTTCTTCTTTTTCATCGACTTATAAAAAGTAAAAAAAATTAACTTGAGTGAATCGAAATGATTGTTTAAATTATTTAAGTATATAAGATAAAGTATTTGGTATTTTAAAAATTAGAAATAAATTGAGTTTTACAACTTAATATTCATATAATTTAAAAAAAATTGCACGACATTGAATTGAAAGGGAAAATTTTTAATTTAATAGAAAAATATTATCGAATAAATCATCAAACATTGATAAAAACAAGGGTAAATTTCGTATTCAGTATACAAACTATCAATTTAATTCGTTTTAGTATTTAAATTTTTATTTTTTTAAATTATATCTAAAGTTTAATTTTTGTTTAATTTTAATACACCGTTGTTAAAAACTTTAGTTTTTGTTTCATTTTAGTATTCATTCAAAATTTAACGTTAAGTTTTAAAAAAATAAAAAAAATTATGTACTAAAACGAATCAAAACTTACAGGTACCAAACACATTAAATAAAAATTTAGCAGCAACCATCCAATCCAACTGTCGACGACCCTATTCATCGTCGAAAAATCACGTTTTTCAATATATATTATCGCCGGAGAGCTATATCAAGAGCAAATTGGTCTTTCTCTTCACTAAACATTGTTCAATTCGTCGTTGTCACGCAGCTGACCGTCGATTATCATTACCATTATCGTTTGTATCGTACCCCCGATCGTTTTCCTCATCTTTAATACGCGTAGACCGTCGCCCATAACAGCCAAATCGACCACAATTGCCGGTGCTCGTTTGTCCCCAATCTCGTGTGAAAGTCTGTCGCTATTTAACTCTCCGACAGGACTTACAAACGGGTTTTACAAACCTCTATGAAAATGCTAGAATCTTTGTGTGGCTCAAGTCGACTGAACTTTACCCCAATCAATGATGCTTCAGGTATCCGACTATCACCAGTTTTCTGAGTTAATAATGGCCTTCAAAACTATAGTATGGCCCTTTGATCAGATATATTCTACGGTATGTCATGTGAGAATGTGTAAATGTCGCTACAGGTAAAGAGTTTATTTCAACTTTATGTTGGATTATCATTCTAAGTTTGCACTTCTTCCATTTGATATCGTTAATTAAATTGCAAATTTTAGGACTGCTCCAAACCATTTTTAGTTTTTTTTTTTTTCTCCCTGGAGTTCTTCGTTGTAAATATTATGTTGACATTGTCAGGAAAAAAAATCCTTGGTTTTATTTATCTTTAATGCAGGGGTACTTGAGGGTACCATAAGATGCAGTTGAATAATTTGATGGTTGTTATTAGGATGAATATATAAATTTATATATTAAGTGTTTTAATTCTAAACAAATAAAAGTTTCGAAAATAATTATAACTTTTAATAAAAAAAAATATAAGTTAATTATATTTCTATTAAAATTTAAACTAAATAATAAAAAAGATTAATCGTGGATAGGTTATTATTTTTTATATTTATTTAATATTCACAATTTAATTAATAGTGTATCACATTAATGGTATGTTTCGGTATGCGATGTGCGCTTTAGAATTCTTCCTAAAATATAAATATCTTCAAGATTTTAAGATCATTTAATATAATTTACTCTCAATTTTATTACACTTAAAATTAGATATTAATATTTATGTGTCACTTACAAAATATTATACTTGAGTATCCTGTTATATATATTATATACAATAATATTTTATATTTATTTAATATATTTTTATAAAATAAATATAAACTAATCTAAAATGCAAATAGTTTAACGCTAAGAAAACCTAACATTGTAGTTAGTGCGGTGGTGAAGTTTTGGAACTTTGTAGAGACGTACGTATAAATCGAGCGACTTCATTGGTAAATTAATTGTTATTTTTTCTTGAGGTCTCGAGTTTGAGCACTAGAAATACTAGGGATATGGACATTAAATATCAAATGTTTGTAGGAATTGATGGATGTCTTTTAAAAAATTTAAAATTATTATAAATTGTAGATATTCTTTTATTGAAAATATGTTTTTATCTATCTAAAATTTAATCTAAAATCTTGTGTTTGTCCCTAATATTAGATTGATCAATTCATTTTTTTCTATTTTCACCGTATTGACATAAGGGTAATTTAATTCATGGAATATAAGATTATCTTTAGGAATAAAATTACCGAAATGTTACATTACTTAACCTATTACTAAGAATGTTATATTACTTCGATTGGTTTATTTGACAGAAATGTAAGAATATATTGTTTGGTTGAGAGAATATAAGATTACTAGAATGTATAGTTTACTAGATTATTCCGATGATATATTTTTAATAAATGTAATATTTAATATTAAAATAAAAATATTTATATAAACAATTATTTGAACTATATTTTGATATAACAATTTATGACAAAATATTTTTGGACTTGAATTGAATTTATTCTTCAAAGTTCTCAAAGTTTTTAAAAATAATTCAAGGTCCATTTAACTTGGAATTGAGCACAAAATATTTTTCTAGACAAGCAGTACAAATATTGTTCTTACAGTATCGATACCTCATGAACAATACCGATATCGTTCATATAGTACTGATGCCAAAGGTAAGGGAAGTATCGATACTCACTAGGTAGTATCAATACTACCAACTTTGCTCAAATTCCATAATGCAAAAATGGTACCGATACCCAAAGGGGTACCGATACTACTTTACATAGGCTTAGTATCGATACCGTCAGGCCCAACGACTAGTTTCATTTAAAAATATAAAGGAAGTACCGATTCTCCCTATAGGAGTACTGATACCTACTGTTCTGGGTAGTTTTGTTTTGTAGAGAAAAATATCCCCAATGGCTCTAAACTACTCCCAACGGCTAAAGACGACCACAACTTCATTCTAACTTATAAATACAAGTTCAAGACACTTGAAGAAGGGTTAGAACACATATCCAAACAATAAAAAACAAGAGAATAGTTTTTCATTCCTTTTTTAGTTTCTCTTGTAAATATTTTGTTCTTGTGAACTTTAATTCTTTGTAAACACCTACCTTAGAGAGGTTTTCTTGTTTACATTTCTTTTTCTTTGTGCAAAGGGGATTGGTTATAGTTTAGCCAATTAAAAAACTAGGGAGTGTAAAAGTTATCTCTTGATCATGTAAAAAGAAAGAATAAATTAGTGAATTTGTTGAAAAATCATTGGTGATGAGCTAAGGTAGTGGAGGTAGACTTAGTTGAGAAGTCAAACCACTATAAATCGTTGTGTATATTTCTCTATCTTTTATTTTCCTTACTCCCTAAACAAGTTTTTGCCAATTCACCCCCTTGTGCATTTTTCGGTTGATCAAATTGAGCTTCGAAAATCCCAACAATTTGTATCAGAGCTTAACTCTTTAGAAGGTTTAACCACCTTGAGATGTTCCTTGAAGAAGCTCTACCGATTCCCAAATCAATCGAGAAGATGACTTCTACCTCCGGCTCGTTCTATATGGAAGGCTCCCAACCGATCAACAAGCCTCCACAGTTCAATAGAGCAAACTACTGTCATTGGAAGAAAGTAATGAAGTTATTTATTCAATCCAATGATCTTGATGCATGGGAGATGCTCGAGAATGGATACTCTTCTCCAACGAAGAAGACGAAGAAGTGGAGTGACCAAGAACGGAAGAAAGCTCAACAAAATATCAAGGCCATGCACATGATATTTTGTGCATTTGGTCCTGATATCTATGAAGAACTTTCTTCTTGTTCGAATGCCAATGAGCTTTGGAATAAGCTCGAGGAAATCTATAAAGACAAGAAAGAAGATCTAACAAAGGTGGTGTCTTTAATGGCTCATAAAGAGCCCAAGGTATCTACTAACTCACGTGAATCAGATTCTTATTCTTTTAATGAGTTACAAGATGCATACGATGAATTATTTTTGGAGTTTGAGACCATGAACTCTAAATACAAGAAATTGATTTCTAAATTTAAGGTTGAAATAATTTTCTTTTGAAAGCTAAAATGAATTTTGAAAACCAAAATGAAATTTTGAAAAAGAATTTAGAGCTTTCAAAAATGAAAATTGAAAGTTTTGAAAAAGAAAATTTTGATTTAAAAGTTAAGCTTGAATGCTTAACAAAAGAAAAAGAAATCATTTTAAATAATTCATCTAGTTTAATAATGACGAAATGCTCATATTATCATTACCATGGTCACAAGGAACATACTTGTCCTTTAAAGAAAGGAAAATGTTTTATAATTAGACAAATATGGATTCCTAATGGAACAAGGGCATTGAAATTAATGTTTAAAGATCTTAAGCAATTTGGATACCAAAATCTACTTAAATGTCTCTTGCAGGTGTGTGGGAGAAATGGTGATGAAAGTGAAGATATTCAAATGCTCTAGCCACACTTGAAAAGGAATGGGTAACCTCTAAGCTTAAAGTTTTTGTTTTTGATTAATTGGTTGCTCATTTAGGTTTATACATGCATGAGTTTTGAACTTAAATGATTTTGTGTTGATTTTCTAGCTCATGTATGTTAAAAGGAAGTTATGATGAACACTTTAAAGATTTAATGATTTTTCATAATTTTTGTTCATCATAATGAATTTTGGTCAAAATTGGTTTTAAATGCAAATGATATCTCTCTAACAATTGATATCAATTTTCAAAATGTTTTGATTTTAATTTTGTTTTAATTTTTAACCTAAATTTAAATGTTTATGCATATGATTAAAATGTAAATGATATATCTCTAATAATTGATATCAAAATTTTCAAATGCATAACATTTTTTTGAAAGCTTTATGCATATGCACTTAATTTCAACAATTGGTATCGCATAAAGTATTTTAGACTTGGATATATTGAATTTCATGTTCTACTAACATGATTGTTATTCTTTGTTGAAATTCAATTTTGTTTAAGTGTCAAGTTTTTAAAGTCAAATTTTGTTTGGAATGCTATTTTTGAGGAGGAGCTTTTGATTTTTCAAATGATTTTATGATAAAATTTAACACTTACTCTCCAAAGTTATTTTAGAACTCTAAAGTTGAATTATTTTTGATATAACAAAAAGGAGGAGAAGTATGGATTTGAAAAATTCAATTTCTCAATGAAAAAGGGGGAGCTGAACATTTTCCAACAATTGACATCTTTTTCATTAAATATTTTATTAAGGAGGAGTTTTGCCAAAAACAATTTTTCAAATGTTTTGTTATATCAAAAAGGGGGAGATTGTTGAACTATATTTTGATATAATAATTTATGGCAAAATGTTTTTGGACTTGAATTGAATTTATTCTTCAAAGTTCTCAAAGTTTTCAAAAATAATTCAAAGTCCATTTAACTTGGACTTGAGCACAAAATGTTTTTTTGGACAAGCAGTACCGATACTGTTCTTACAGTACCGATATTGTTCATTTGGTACTAATACCAAAGGTAAGGGAAGTATCGATACTCACTAGGTAATATCGATACTACCAACTTTGCTCAAATTCTATAATGCAGAAATGGTACAGATACCCAAAGGGGTACCGATTCTACTTTACATAGTAGTATAAATACCATATGCTTAGTATCGATATCGTCAGACTCAACAGCTAGTTTCATTTAAAAAATAAAGGAAGTACTGATACTCCCCATAGGAGTACCGATACCTTCTGTTCTGGGCAATTTTTTTTGCAGAGAAAAACATCCTCAACGGCTCTAAACTACTCCCAACGACTAGAAACGGCCACAACTTCATTCCAACATATAAATACAAGTTCAAGACACTTGAAGAAGGGTTAGAACACTTATCCAAGCAATCAAACACGATAGAAGAGTTTTTCATTCCTATTTTACTTTCTCTTGTATATATTTTGTTCTTGTGAGCTTTAATTCTTTGTAAACACCTACCTTATAGAGGTTTTCTTGTTTACATTTCTTTTCCTTTGTGTAAAGGGGATTGGTTCTAGTTTAGCCAAGTTAAAAACTAGGGAGTGTAAAGGTTATCTCTTGATCCTGTAAAAAGAAAGAACAAATTAGTGAATTTGTTGGAAAATCCTTGGTGAGGAGCTAAGGTAGTGTAGGTAGACTTAGTTGAGAAGTCGAACCATTATAAATCGTTGTCTCTATTTCTCTTCCTTTTATTCTCCTTACTCCCTAAACAAGTTTTTGCCAATTCACCTTATTGTGCATTTTTCGGTTGATCAAATTAAGCTTAAAAAATCCCAACACAATTATAGAAAATTATTATTTCATTATTTCTAATTTATATATTTTTTTATAAAATTATATGAAATAGAATTTATATATTTTTATAAAATTTAAAAATAAATGAGTTAGAATAAAAGATAGGGTAAAGTACACAAATGATCCCTCGACTATAGGATGTTGTTTTATTAAGTTCTTTGACTATTAAAAGTTACAAAATGGTCATCCAACTATAGAGTGTTGCTTTATTGAGTCCATCAACTATCAAAAGTTACAAAATGGTGATCCGACTATTTATTATGTTCCAAACCCATCATTTTTCGTTAAAATTTGATATTGTTATGAGCTAGACGTTAACTTGATTACTGTGACATGATAAAATCTGATCTTGGAATCTCACTACTATCATATTTCACTCATCATGTTAACATCCAACTTAGAAAACCGCCAATTTTTAATGGAAAATGATAAGTTTAGAACATAATGAATAACCGGGAGACCATTTTGTAACTTTTGATAGTCGAGGGACTTAACAAAACAACACTCTATAGTCGGAGGACCATTTTATAACTTTTAATAATCAAGGGAATTAATAAAGTAGTACCTTATAATTGGGGGACCATTTGTGTACTTTACCCTAAAAGATATATATCATATATATTCATTTTTAATACATAATAAAAAGGGAAATGAGTTTCTTCTCAATAATAATGCTTCCAAATGGTGATCAAGTGTAAATATGAGACTGTTGAGACCATGCTATATTTTTCATCAATACAATATAACTTACTTATGAAGTCATAAAGATTAATTACGAGAGAATAGAAAGAAAATAAATAATTTATTACAAAGTTTAAAAAAATAAAAGAAATGATAGTTTTGAAATTATCCATTTATTTTAGAAGTAATCTTGTCTAAAACCATAGGAATTATTAAATACTTAAGATGGAGGAAAGAATAGGATTCCCAAGAATCCAAACAAAAAAAATACCAAGAAAAAAAGTTAGATCAGTAATGCTCAATGATCTCTTTAAAAAGAATTCTTTTGAATCAAATATGGATATGTGATTCCAAAAAAAGTTATTATAATTAGTAATAAGTTTTTTCCTTGATCCAAACACCCCTAAGGGCTCCTAAAGGGATGTTTGGATCAAACGGGTGTTTGGATCAAGGAAAAGATTATTACGAAGGGGAATAATCTCATTTGAATAATCTTTTTCGGAATCATATACCCAAGTTTGGTTGAGATGCATTCCAACCAAGGGGTAAAAAAGTATTGCCAACATTGTTTCCCCCACCCCCTTACATTCCTAGGATCTCATTCCCTGCAAATCTTAGGTATTTAACAATTCTCATCGAATTGGATAGAAATATCTTTAAAATAAAAGAAATATTTCAAAACTGCCATCTCTTTTATGATAAATCCCTATTTTTACGTTTCACTTTCTCCTCTTTCATCCATTGCTTAGAAAAAAATTAAATTTCTTCTCTGGTGTTCTTATTCTGGTAAGTTTTCTCCTCATATCTTTCTCTTTCTTTTTCAATTAATAAAACTAGCATTACTGTGTTTATTTTATGCAAGTCATTTGGGCCCTTGTTTAGTAAATCTTGAGTTGGCATCTTCTGAGTTCATATTTAAGAATTACCACAATATTTTTGCTCAATATTAATATATTAATGTTATTAGGTATTGACTGCTTTCTTTAATAATTTCTGCTTATGAGTGATATTTTAATCTTTTTTTTGAGAAGTAACTCTTCTTTATTACAAGGAAGTTATAGCTAAAGTTGCTACTGGGATGTTAAAGGTAGTGGTTTTAGTCTTAGTTAAATTCTTGTTTCTTGAGAAGCTAACTGATTAATATTATGTTTCATCGCTGACAAACTAAGCAGGTTACTTTTATTTAGGTTACTAACTGTTCAAACAAACTTTTACTTGTTATTAGGTAAGTGTAAACATAAATTAGTTTATTATTCATCATTTTTTTATTGTTAATTGTTACATATGTTGTTAGATATATATTTGTTGCTTGACTAAACCAAATGTATGATACATAATTGTTCTTGTTTATTATTATTATTTTCTAATATTAAAATGTTTTGTTTATAAAAACAGTTATGGCTAGTTTACCAATACAAAAGAAGATGTGTATCGTCACAATTCTCATTTTATAATGGTAGATGATGGAAATTATGTTTCAAATACTAATGCTTGTTGTTATTTTGCTTATCCTTAGAAAATATAAAAAACCTAAAATAAGATATGCACAAGAAAAACTTCATAGACATAATATTAGGGCACTCAAGTTACATAAAATTGTATTTTAAAATAATAGACAAAACATTGATAATATCCGAATGGATAGGAGGACTTTTTTGAAATTGTGTCACTTATTACAAAGTCAATGTGAGTTAAAAGATAGTCGACATATGTCTATAGAAGAAATGATTGTTACTTCTCTTCATATTATATCCCATCATATGAAGAATAAAGTTATAAAATGTCAAACAGTCAAAACTGGTGAAACAATTAGTAGAGTTTTTCATGCAATGTTAGCCTCAGTTTTAAGACTACATTAAACTCTTTTTAGAAAATCATAACGAATACAAGAGAATTCAACATATGATAAATAGAAATGGTTTAAGGTATTATTTTCTTAATACATTTAATTTAATCAATAAAATTTAATGCATAAATAGATATTAATAATGTAATTTAAATCTATTTTATGAATCTAAGGATGTTTAGGTGCTTTAGATGGAAAATATATTAAGGTCAATGTTGTTTCAATCGAAAAACCTATATACAGAAAAAATGAAATTGCAACAAATGTACTTGGTGTTTGCACACCAGACATGCAATTTATTTATGTCTTACCTGGGTGGGAAGGTTCTGCAGCTAATGGTTGAGTCCTGAGAGATGCCATTAGTAAAAAAATGGTTTAAATGTTTCACAAGGTGATGATTAAGTAATCAATATATAAAAAGGTAATTTTTTTTTATCAATTTTGTATATTAATATATTCTAAAATTAAAATACATATATAGGGTGTTACTACCTATGTGATGTTGGATACACAAATGGAGAATGATTTTTTGCACTGTATAGAGGTCAAAGATACCACTTGAATGATTAGAGACAAGGACACCAACCTACTACCCCTCAAAAATATTTCAACATGAAACACTCTCAAGCAGGAAACTGCATTGAGAGATGTTTCGACATATTGAAAGCAAGATGGACGATTTTAAGGGGAAAACGATTTTATCCAATAAAAATACAATGTTGAATAATTTATGCTTATTGTCTTTTTCATAATTTTATTAGATCTGATATGCCAATTAACCCCGTTGAATCTGACTATGTTGAAGATATTAGTCAAATTGAAGAGGTTAATGAGATATAAATGATAAGGCATTGTGAGCCAAGCACTGCTTGGATTGAGTGGAGAGACAAATTAACACAAGATATGTTTGCTAGTTGGTTAGCCTCACGGAATTTAGGATAATTTTTGTTTTACATTATGTATGAAGAGTCAGCTTCTATTTTATCCAATATTAATAGTTAATTTCATGTATTTTATGTGTTTATATATTATGTTATTAACTTCATTAAACTTTATGTATTTATTTAAAAAAATTAAATTATCATCGTTATTGATATACATCACATATGATGTTATTAACCATAATTAATTTATTGTATTTTCTTATTTTTAAGTTCATTTATGATTGTTATAGACATTAATGGTATGTTTTATGTTGTGTTACATATTTTTTTGTATATATCTTTTTAGATTGCTTGGAAGGGTAACATGTCAACCTCAATATTGAATCTCAAAGTGGGAAAAACGAAAAACTGAAAGGATTATGTCTGTAGTTACTAAAAGGATATGGAATAAACAAGAGGATGTTTCACTTGTTGAATGCTTACACATATTGGTAGAAGACCCACACTAGAAAGCTGACAATAGGACTTTTAGAGCAAGTTATTTATCTTATCTTGAGAAAATGTTAGATACCAAACTTCTTACATCAGAAATTAGAGCCAATTCACATATTGAATCTAGAGTGAAATTATTGAAAAGACAATACAATGCTTTATCATAAATGCTTAACATTGGAAGTCGATTTGATTGGAATGATGAAGAAAAATGTTTGACTGCACCAAAATATGTTTTTGATGACTAGGTTAGAGTAAGTATTTTAACTAAATTTATCTTCTTTATATGATCTTTATAATCTACATATATATTTATAAAATTATTTAACATTAATATTTTATTTTTATCATGTATAGTTATCCAACTGCTACTGGATTGAGGAATAAAAAGTTTTCATTTTTAATGAGTTTATTCCAATATTTGGGGAAAAATAGCAATATGAACAACATATGAGACAACAACTGATGAAGTGGAAGATCTTGATGTAGAAGACAACACATTAATAAATAGATGAATATGTTGAACAAGAGAGTGGAAAAGATTCTGAATCAAGAAAGGACATTGATGCTTCAACTTGCCAAACATTTGATGTTGTTGTCCTTACCCCTGCAATGAAAAAAACAACTAGCAAGAAAAGGTCTCGAAGTGATTATGGGTTATCTAATCTTATAAAGGAGATAAGAAAATTTGGTGCTATATACCGAGAAACTGTTTAAGAAATTAAGGACATTACTGCTTTATTAAAAAAGAGACAAAAGGAAATGATCGAAGAATGTCAATTTTCATATAAATCATGAAAATTAAAGGTCTTTCCAATGATGAAATGCTTACTATAAGAGAATATATTATCGAAGATGCACATAAGGTAGATTTCTTCTTTTCTTTACCAAATGAATTTAAAGATGATTATGTGATTAAGGAACTAGTTGAATGTCATTCTTATCGACCATCTTTTGACTTCGATTCTTTTAAAGCTATGTAGATCTACTTGAACTTGGCTTTAGAATATGTTGCCAACTCTTTTGTTTAGCTTTACTAAGTATATGTCATTGTATTAGGGCAAATATTGATTTTGATAACTTTTTGTGTACATAAGATAACCAACATATATGTTTAAGTTTAAAATGTCATGTCCATTATCTTTTGTAAATCAAGATATAGTTGTTGATTTTGATGGTTGATGTGTTATCTTTTGTGTATATGGTTGATTTTTTTTTTTACCAAAAATCAAAAGACAAAAGTAATTTATGGTTGCAACCTATTTTATGGTTACCATTTTAAGTTGCAACCTATATTATGGTTGCACCACATTTTAGGTTACAACACTCTTTCAAATTGCACCATATTTTAAGTTGCAACTCCTTTTTATGTTGCAACCATTTTTTAAGGGGATGGGTTCCTCACGTAGTTATTTATGCAGAAATTTTATTAAAATTATATAAGCAATTTTATTAAAAAATAAATGTAGTAAAAATATATATTAAATTATTTCTATATAAATTTTATTAAAAATATATAAAATAGAAATAATAAAAAGTATATTTTTTATGAGATTTCATTTGTTGAAAAAAAAAATTATCTCAAGGGTAATTTGGTTAAACATATATTTTCTTATCTTATATTCATTCATCCAAACACTATAATATAGTATTTCAATCAAATAAACTAAACAAGATAATACAAGATTCTCAGTAATATTTTAAGTCATGTAATATTTCGGTAATCTTATTTTCAATAATAATCTTATATTTCGTGATTCAAACCTCTCCTAAATGTCATTGATAATGGTTTAACAATCGAGTGGTGGAATTGTGACCTAGCTAAACAAATAATTCAAATGTCATATAACTGAATATTATCCAAATCTCCGCACAAGTGGACTGAAAGCCGAAGTGGGGGGTTTTTGGAAGAGGAGAAAATTAGAAAAAACAATTAAACAAACACGGTTTTGCAAAACATCATCATAAGGTTCAGTAGCCAGTCATTCCCAACCATCTTCCTCGTCACTCGTCACTCCAGGTAAGCAGAAACTTTACCTTCTCAGAATTGGACCCCAACAGCGGTGCAGCGACAATCAAAGTCAAAGCCACCAGCTTCAACTAAGCCATTTGCCTTAAGATACTGGGTCAGTACCACCTTTCATTCCAGGCCCTGATTATTCTCTCACTGTCGATGCCCTGGGCCTCGCTGTCCCCAAGTTCGAGGTGGATGATCGCATCTAATCCTTCGCTTCCGTAGGCTCCTACGCGGCCTCCATCGTCCAAGACCATCCCTGACTCATCATGGTCAGCATAAGTCAATAATACCGTATACCTACTCGAGTAGAAAAAGAGACGAATGCTTAACTAGTTAGTGTTTCTGGTTCGATAGAATTGGGGTGGAGAAAGGGTGTGATATGGTGGCAGCTGCTGCACTCCGGACCCAAACGCCTTTGGGACCTCAACTTTCCCACTTCTTAGGCAGGTCCCCTTTTTTGTTGCTTTCCATTCTATCTATGTTTCATTGCAACCGCTAATAGTTGTGGTATTGTAAAGGAGATAAGCAGTTACTGTTACATATATGTATTGCTGGTTCTTGGTGCCGCAGGAGGCGTTCTCATTTCTGCCGTTCAAATTGGCCGGTTTTCCGGTGCAATAGTCACTGCTTTTTCCAGGTACTTCCAACAACTACTATCTCTTAGCTGCCATTGTTGTTCATTGAAATTGATATAGTTGTGGTAAATTATTGGCGAAGACTAAGCCGCCCATACTCTTTTAATTTGTTCTTATTCCAGTTGTATTTTATATCTATATGCATAGATTAAGAGTAAGGTCGTCCGACACTACACAAGAGATGGTGGGTGCTGCTATTTCTAGCATCACTTCTTCACAGATAACGATGATAAAGGGCGGTGGTGGTGGTGCTGCTGCTGCTTTTCCATCCAAATCCATGGAATTGCGGTGGATACGCAGAAACAGTAGAAGAAAGATCCCTAACCCAAACCCAAGTTCAAGGGAGTTTGGCAGCTTAAATTCAACACCACCGCCATTGATGATGCCAATTTACATATCAGCGGACCCATCCCACATTAATCTTCAAGAGCTTAGTGAACTGTACACTAGTTGCAACCACTCCTGCCACCGGTTCCCTAAGGTGGACTCAAACACCGGCATAGTTGAAGAAGCCTTGGACTTGAACAAGCTCCGGATTGCTCTCTCCCACAGTTGTGTGATTGTTTCAGTCTTCTGCAAACCTCAGCATGTCAAGGTGACTAACATCACCAAGCAAATCCAAAACCAAGAGCAACAGAAGCAAATGAAAAGGGGTTTTGTTGGAGATTTGATGGAGAGTGTGGCGCCCATAAACCCTTCAAATGGCCAGCTTATTGGCTTTGGCCGTGCTGTTTCTGATCTAGGATTGACTGCATCCATCTACGATGTCATGGTACTTATCTTCTTATCCTTCAGTAATTATGGGGTTGAATTAGCATCCAAACATCCTTTAATAACCAACCTGTTTAGGCATTTTTTCCCTATATAGAAGAATGCAATGGTTATACAAATGAACAATTTTAAATGGATAACTTAGCAGTTAGTCAGTCCCTGGAGAAAAGATGCTTCCTCTTCATTGTTCCTTATACCGTCCCTCTCTAGCTTTGCTCTCTCCCACGTACACACCCTTTAAAAAATGTTTATATAAACATATATTTGGTGCATTGCTTGAATATTCAATGTCAGACAACCTTACTTTTGGATATCAATATCAAGTTTTCAACTCTTCGTTTGTATACTTCTTAAGGTAAAGGGCCAAGTTCTCGACTGTAATAAGGCTTTTGGATTATATAACCCTCAGTTTTTTTATCAGTGTGATTTCTTCAGACACCTCTAATTCTAATTTGCTACTTGACAACCGTTCATATTCTTATCAGTGTGGTTTAGTGCATTCCAGGTCGCTCCTCCTTTACAGGGCATGGGAATTGGGACGATAATAGTTAAAAGGGCTGTAAGGTTTGTTTCTACTAATTTTGAATTTTTGAACAGGATTAAGTAGTTGTATATCAAATCTTCCCTACACATGCATGCATGCTCTATGTAGGCATGCAACTGTAATCTTGTCTTCCTTTAAACGATAGCCAGTGCATGCATCCATATTCAGCTCTAGAAATGGTATCATGTCACCTGTTTGCCTGCTTCAGAATCATGGTTGTTACTTGTTATAGTTGAATAGCATGAAAATTCTATAAGGATTTCAAGTTTAGCTGTCAAATTCAAAATAAATGCCCCAGGAACTGCACAATGGAGAATTGGAGATTACATTATCTTGTTATATCCTTATTCTTAGCCTGCAGTTTTTGAAATGTAATTACTGGAGTTATATGTAGGAGTTTAACATTTCTGTCCCTTATTTTGCTTCTAGGATACTCACAACTAGAGGCATTTATGACATAGCCGCTCTTTGTTCCACCAAGGAAAGGTAATTCTCGTCATTATGCTAAATTTTCTTAACCTACGTGTTCTCATTTAGTATATGTTTCATATACCCTGGTTTTATTGGTTTTACCACTAGGCAGCCTTTCTTTTCTTGCTTTGAAACATGTGGCAACCGTCATTCTAGCAAAGGCCAGCCAAGTATATTACAATTAACCTACAGCTTATGGGGAATTATTTTCTCCTGAATTTGCTGCAGCTTACCGGCTGCATTTTATGTTATCTGGCTCAGTAGCTCTCTTCTGCCACCTTCACTCCAGCCCTATAAACCAGAACGAATTAAAATATAATAGGGCTTAAAATTTGAATAGATAGGTGCTTCATTCTTTTGTTGAACGAACATCACTGTATGGATTTTTTGCAAACAAATTATGTGTAAACCTGAGAGAATCAAGGGAAAGGTCGAGTCATTGATAAATGATTTGTGTTGATTCTTCTTCAAAAGCATGTTGTTTATAAGCTTATTTCAGGTTCTTCTTCAAAGCATGTGGATTCAGAGATGACATCTTAGGCTCTACTACGATGATGTATGGTAGGACGGTTTCAAATACTTGTTTTGAAGGTAATGAGCTGGTTACGGCAGCTGGTCGAAAACTTTTGTTAGCTCCACCACTTCGAGTGCCACCGTTTCCATCTTCCAAGACTACCAAACATCAAGGTTGAACCACATGGTTGCCTTATGAATACAATTCTCTCTCATTGATGAAGCATATGGAATTAGAAGGGAGTTTGGGGGTGGGGGCATTTTATTTTTCCCGTTTGTTTGTGCATTCAAGATTCGGTTTCTCTTTCGTCTCAGAAAATAAAATCCCCTTTTATTTTCTTGTAAGTATTGAATTTGATGTTCAATGTTGCAGTATATGCATATGAATTTAGGTTTTTGCAATGAAATTCACTGCAGTTTGTTCCCTGTTGCAAAAGGTAAATAAATGAATGGAAAGAGAGAGAGAAAAATTTTGACGTAAGTTCTGAGTTAAGCATTACAGAATTTTTTTTCAATATGTAACATGAATGGATTTTGATTTTGATAGAGCTGGCTGTCGTTGGCATTCTCATGTGGATTAGTTTTGAAATAGACAGTGGGCAACTGGAAAACCACAACAAAGGATGCCACTATAAGAGGTCTGGGTGCCTTCCGGTAAGTGTTTCCAAGCCAACATCTTCTGAACTGCAAATGCATGGACTAAAAATTTGGAGGGCAGCGAAGACAAATTCTATTCCATTGTTGGCATATAATTTTGAATGTGATTTAAGTTTGTCCTTTTCATTACACCGTATTTTTAATATTTATTAACTTAAATTTTAAGAGTATTAACTGAAAAAATAAATAGTTTGAACTTTATTACCAGACATGTAACATCCTAATCTCGACCCGTATAATTTTTAAGCATTCAAGACACAAGTGTAAAGAACATAAATAATAAATATATCATGAATGAAAATGTGTGTATAAAATGTGGAGCTTCACGGATAATAAAAGTGTATCAAAATAATTTCATTTACAGAATTATTGACCGCAAAAACATATAAGATCCTATAAATACATAGCTCATAGAGTATTGCCGTACTCTGCAATGACTAGGGTGTCGGAATCCTTCTCCAATGAAGCTCCTCAAGGCACGATCTAATCTACTCACTTGCGAATGAAAACATCTAAACGTTGAGCTTTACAAACTCAATAGCATGTTTCTACTCTATTATAATTTATGTACATTATAAATATAAGCATGATATGGGAGTATACATATATAAAGGGCATGAGTAAGATGGTAAGAATCATACTATCAACCATATAACAATGTTCACATGATATGTAACATCCCAAATTAGGGGTTAGTAGTTTCGGGTTTAACTGAGAGGTAACTATACTATGTGAAATTATAAATTAAGTTGTTGGGTTTGATTGGGTTGGCTTTGGGGCCCTATTAGTCATAAAAGGGGATTTTTAAATATAAGATAAAATGCGAAGGAGTAAAAGTGCAATTAGACCATTGAAGATTTTCGAAGTTGGTTTTAGGGTTTTTATTGGTGTTTTGGACGTGGGTTCTCATCCCATCTCTTCTTCTATTCTTCTTCATCTTCATTTCTCTTCTCATTCTCTCCTCTAAGTCTCCATAGCTTCAAGAGTTGGTAAGAACATCTTTCTCTACTCCTTTTGACCTCTAATCTGTTTCAAACTCATCCTATAACCCTTGGTATGCTAAGGATCTTATCTTCCTTTTTGGTTTGAGGAAAAATGGTGGAAAATCAACCAAAGTAAAAAACGACGCCGCTTGATTGAAAAATGAGCTTTATTTCGAGTATCTAAATTCAAGGTAGTGTATTTCAAATCCTTTGGAGTATTAAGGTTTCATAGATCTATGGTTTTTGCTAAGATTTAGTGATTTGAGCATTTTAGGATTTATCTTTGATTTCTCAACCAAAACATGTTTTAGGCGTTAATAATATGTTTAAATTATGCCTTAAGACCCTGAATAACTTACTAAAGCTTTTGAATAAGTTTAGAACCAACTCATATCGTTTGGGGTGATTCTTGAGTGATTCCTGAGCTCAAGCAAGTTATTCCCAGAAAATGGATCGATCCCTTGACCAAAAGGATCGATCCCTCGACCAAAAGGATCGATCCCAAAGTTTCTATCTAGCAAAGGATCGATCCATTTTCAAAAGGATTGATCCCTCGGGAGAAAGGATCGATCCCTTGAGAGAAATGATTGATCCCTTTTCAAAAGGATTGATCCCTCGAAAGAAAAGATTGATCCCTTCTCTGTTTTGCTCGATGAAAAAGGATGAATTTGCATTCATTAAAGGTCCTAAGTGTTGTTGAATGTTCTTTTGACCCGTTTAAGGTCCGTAAGATCTAAGGATGATATGTAATAATAAGACTTAGTCCGTGAGGGACATAAATGACCAAACATACCTAAAAACACTAGTAGGAGTAGGTTACATCGGGTGTAACCATATTAAGTGTAATACACCAAAGTATCTTTAATCAAGGACGTATACGGATATTTGGGATCAAAGATCGTTACAAGAGATATTCGATAAGTGGTACGATGAATATGTCAGATTTAATACTAACAAAAAGTATGGGGCTTCGAGAACATCAGTGAACTGGAAATGAATAAGTCATTCCACTACTTCAAGGGTTTTGGAATAAGTATGATAAGAGCGTTATGAGTGTTGTTACCCAATAATGAACCCGTGTCAGGTATCGGGCTAACTAGTGGTGTAGTCAGTGAACAACAAGCATAATCAGTAAAAAAATTGTGAAACACTTAGAAATCTCTCTGAAGTCAGAGAAGACTAAAATAATCCTTTAAGTGCTAATTAACCTTTCCTTAACGTCCTAGGTGAGAGGACGAGCGAGATAGTTCAGGTGAAAAGAAATGACCTCACCTAACTTCTGCAAGATAGGTAACGAGTAACTGAGCTACTTTGATTTCCTTAGAGGAGCATCAACTAACATGTGTTAAGACGTTAGCTTTAGAGAAAGACTTATGTTGAGTTAATCGATCGATGGAATTGGCCAAGAGGGGGTGAATTAGCAATACAAATTTTGGTGGAAGCTTTTGCAGAAAATTGAAAATATTTGCACAGCGATTTAGAGTGGTTCGACTTTCTCAACCAAAGTCTACGTCCACTACCTTAGCTATCTACACTAAGGATTTTCCAACAAATTCACTAATTTGTTCTTTCTTTTGAGGACAAAGAGTAACCTTACAACTCCCTCAAGAATTATACCCCAAATTCTTGGGGACACTCTTTTTCAAAGAGAAATACACAAATTTGCAAACTTACAAGGAAAACCTCACAAGGTATATTGTTTGCACAATTCTAGAACAAAGAAAGAAAACTCAAGGATAAATACAATAGAGCACAAATGGTGTTATTGAAAGCACAATGACTATTGAATGAAAAATAGGCTTGAAGTGCTCAAACAATGAGTTTGATGCTTTCTCTTTGATTTTCTCTCAATTCTTGTTGATTATTGTTGATCAATGGCTTCTAAGCTTGTTTAAATACTCCTTCAATTGATTTTGAACGTTGAGGATCATTAGTGGAGTCAATAGAGCCGTTTAAGTGTGAAAACAATTAATAAAACAACTTGGAGAGTGGGGGGAATCCGTATCCCTTCATAGGGAATCAATTCATGCAGTGTAAAATTTTAAATATTTCGACCGTTACACAGGGGGAAATCGGTACCCCCTGGGGGGAATCGGTTCCCTCCGAGCAATCTGTTATTTCTCGGAGCCAAACCATTCAGGGGGAATCGGTTCCTTCTGGGCAATCTGCCCATTTTGGTTTGAGATTTATTAAGAAATGATTTTTGACTCGATTAAGGCTCGAAATACTTTGTAAATTTGTTTAAAAGATTAAAAAATATTTTTACACTTGAGTAAGAATTTGAAATAGACATTTTGTAAAACTTGGAGTAATATTTTGATATTCGAATAGTTGTATCGAATATACTTAGAAAATCATTTGTAAAATCTTAAAATTCATTTAACTTAATTTTTTATATCGAAACATCAAAATGTTTTCAACAATCTCCCCCTTTTTGATATAACAAATCATTTTAGTAATTTTAAGATTTTCTAATTGAAAATAATTTTTTGAAATCAAGTTTTAAGTTTTGAAATTACTCCCCCTTAATTTAACACTTCTCCCCCTTTTTGTTAAATCAAAAAGACTTTATAAAACGTTTATTAAACAAGAAATTTTGAAAGTTAAGCCAATTGATAAAACGTAAGCTGCTAAGATCACAATCAAGAGAAATGTTAGCCATTAGTTTCATAATCAATATTCATAAATAAATGTGTAGTGAAAATTAGTCATATATTCTAAATGATGCAAAATTAACGATACCTTAATAAAACTAGATTCAAACAATCAAACCCAATATATATAAATAAGCATTCAAGTTCAAACATCCATATCATCCAAAACAAGCAAAATATTTTAACAATTATAAGTTCGAAATCATCCTAAGAGAAAACTAAGCAAGAAACAAGTCCTAATCATTCATCGGTGGATCGGGAGGTGATAAATGTGCCCATATGTTGGTCACATCACGTGTAAGAGCAACGACCCTCTCGTCCATAGCGTCGAAATGATGATTCATTGCTTTTTTCATAGTAGTTAGATGTGACTCAATGGATACAAACCTCATGTCAAAAGTCTCCATAAACGATCGAAAGTATGGATGCACTTGACTTTCTTATGGTGCCGACTCATGATCGTCGATATCTTGAAATTAGTTTTATAGTTCAGGATCGTCGTCCGCTGCCCGTGTCTGAGGAGCTTGTGAAAAGCTAGCTCCCAGTGTTTTCTCGGTGACTCGAACCCATTGGTCCTTTTCCCCGGTCCATCCCGATTTCTTCAAGGTTGTAAGATTGATTGGGTTCTTAAGAGGGATGGCCACATCAAGATCGACCCTAAGGTTGGATTCGATAAAAAAGTTACTTAGAAAAACAACCATAAACTAGAGTTTCAACAAGCTTTTTATTAGGAACATGGTTTATGATTTCTACTAACTCATCAAAGACGATATATGGCAGAATTATTTTTCTTGTTATGTTGGATACAATGTATCCACCATAAATCTAAAGCTCTAAGTCTAGAGTATCAACCTCCGGATGGTCTAAACCACGAAGAGATCATCAGATGAAGAAAATGATCATGATGATCGATTAAAGTGCTCACACTAGACTTAGGCTTATAACTTGTAGCCACTATGTCTTTCTTATTATCTTCACCTACGTTATCAAGACCAAAAATCGTAGCGATTGTGTCAGAATTTATATGAATGAATTGGCC